ATTCGTTTTGACAATTTCAGTACATCGTTCAGCGCGTCGAGTGACCTTGACTTCATGTTCATCCTGCTTTCGTACCTGTGTCTCCGAGGCGTACATCAAAGCATAGGGGATGCGCTGTTGAAAAGGTAGCATATATTTCCCGTCCTCTCCACTACTCCTTTGATATTCTCCAATGCTCCCAACGCCCCGCATTTCCTTCTGCTTTGCTACGGGGCTGGTCGTAGGTCATATTGACTTTTCGACCTAAGTTAGGTTTTGAATTCACTACTAGGCTGATCTTTACGCAAGCGTTGTCGAATTCGGCAAGCATTTGTTCCGCTAGCTCGATGTTTAGTGTAGTGAGCACGATGTTGTCTGCAAAGTGGGGATGTAGTAGCGGGTTAAGCAAACGAAGCGTCCTCATATATCGAGAAGGTACATCTTAGTTGTCCAAGGCGTAGATTACCGCTTTTGCCCTGACGATATCAAAGACCTTTAAATCGATGAACGTCAGGTACAACCGCATCCCGTACTCTTGCGACACTTCAGTGAGTCCTGCGACAGTGTGAATGTGATCGACTGCAGTGAACCCTCTTCTGAACGCTGCGTGCTCACATGGCTGGCCTTTATTTAGTATTCTGCCAGTCCTATTAAGAATGATCCGTGTTAAGAACTTGTAGATCACAGACAGCTGGCAGACTGGGCAACAGTTGCCAATATCGTCTGGATCTCCATTCTTATACAGCAACACAGTCTTAGTCTTCAACGACATGGGCACTCCATTCCGGCTAGTACCGCGTGAAGAGCCTTTCGAAACTGACCTGGTGGCACCGTCAAGGCTCAGATGGAACTTATTCTTCTCGTAAATCGGGCAGCGGGTTGGCGGGGTGTATACGGACTTTATTGTACAGTATCACTCTTCCATTCTTCATCCTCGCAGCTTTGACTCAATAGCCTTCTGAGACCTCGATCTTGCTGACAGTGAAGATTTCTTTGATCAGGATACGCCAGATCGTTTGTTCTCGTCTCCATTGTATTAGGGCTGACGCCTCTCCATTTTTCTGGCCTTTGCTTCTCAATCTCCATCCTACTTTAAATAACGCGCTAGTGTGTGTGTGTGTGTGTGTGTGTGTGTGTGTGTGTATGCG